GGAGGTTTAGGGGTTTTTTCGCTGTAAGAAGACGTTTTCTTCCCACGCAGTGAACAGCAGCCACTAATGTTTTTGTCACTCTTTATGGAATCAAACTCAAAGTAATGTGATTACTTCCACGCTTTAAACACTGCACGCTCATACTCTCTCCACACTCGATATATTATTCTTCCGTTTGGATCAAAGCATGAATAAATGAATAAAGTCATCTTTGTGTTTCAGATACAAAATAAAAGCAGCTTTCACTTTGCCAAAATACAGAAATATCTCATATTAAACTTTGGGTACATGAACACGTCACACCAACAACACCGACCTCTGCTGTAGGTTAGAGATGCAGCGCTGTGATGCTCCACCCACTCTTATCCCACCAAAGGTTAAAACAACACAACAATGTATGAATTCATAGGTTCAAAACCCATAAATATGCGTAATCTAAAGCTGTGACCACACCGCTATCAAACAATACGCTTGGTTGGTCTAAAATACAGAACAGCAAACAAGTTTAAACTGGAGGCGTCGTCTCACTGCAGGCAGGCTTCAAACTTCAGTAAAGTCTTTAATCCTCTTTGGTTTTCTCATGGAAAGAAAGAGCGCTGCAGAGAAAGAGGAGAATATGTCAGAGACAGACGTGGTCTTCATTCCCAAACTGAAGCCAGTGTTTGAAGCTAAAACCTGCAATTCATCTAACGTCCAGCAGAGGCAGCAGTGAGTCAGTCCCATAGACTCCAATGTTAAAGCTTTACAGCAGAATGAAACATGTTTACAGCCTGATACACAAACTGTTTGGTCTCTGTAGATCATTTCTACCTTCATAACAGCTTTTTAAATTGTATTAAGGAATAAAGTCTGCATTACTAGGGGCGTGGCCTATGTAACTGACAGGTGGATGGTGACACAGGTGGGTGTAGCTGCTAGCTGTCTGCTAGCTTCACCTGAACTGGACCTCTAGACCTTGTTTGTGCTGTTGGAGCCTTTTAGAGCATTTTTAATGACATCACCTGACCAATAACATGGCTGCTCTGAGGTTACTGTAATAACAGACCATCCAACAAGTCTGACTAAGAGCTTTGGTCAAATTCCAGTTTTCTCTGGATGGTGCTGATTAGCAGGTATCTGTGTGATGCTTTATCTGAACCATTAACTTGTCCTACAAACAAACTGGTTTTAGTGATTTTTAGTTAAAAAAAACAACAACTATGGAATAAAGTTTTGTACCAAAGCATAAAACTGGCATCTTCACTCAGTCCGATAAAGGAAATGCTGGTTTCAATTATGGATTAATTACCTTTGAAACTGAGCTTGAGTGAAGGCTCCTCCTCCAGCAGGGAGTCTGAGTCGGGCCACAATTGGTTAACCAAGATTTTAGCATTTTCAAAATGATCAAAATAGAAGTTGGGTGTGATTGTGGGTCTGTCTGGTTCACAGAATTTCAGGTTCTCTCTCAGTTGGTCAGAATCAAACTTCAGTACCTGAAAAAGAAAAGAGAGAGTGAACAATAAAGCTCAGTGACTACAAAGATTAGTTAAGAGCTTAACTGTCAGACACACATCAGCCTGTGAGTTTGTTCCATCCATCTTCTTCCGCTTATCTGAGGCTGCGTTATGGAGGCCGCAGCCACCTCCTCCATTGTTCCCAGGCCAGCCAAGAGATATAATCTCCCCAGTGTGTCCTGGGTCTGTCCTGGGACCCCCTCCCAGTGGAACATGCCCAGAACACCTCACCCAGTAGGGCACCCAGGAGGCTTCCTTGTTACATGGCCAAACCAGCTTAACTGGCTCCTTTCGATGTAGAGGAATAATGGCTCTACTTTGAGCCCCTCACAAATGGTCAAACTCCTCACCTACCAATCCCCCTACAGTCAGACACCCTCCAGTCCCTCTTCTTGAAGATGGTAACCACCATCCCAGTCTGCCAGTCCAGTACTGCCCCCTCCACACAACACTGTAGAGGCATATCAACCAAGACAGCCCTGCAAGATCCAGATCCTTCAGGAACTCAGGGCGAACTTCATCCACACCAAGGGCCCCGTCACCAAGGAGTTGTTTAACTGCCTCAGTGACCTCCCTCCGGTGATGGACTAGTCACTCCCCAAGTCTCCAGACTCTGCTTGCTTTATGGAAGACTGGGATTAAGGAGGTCCTTGATGTATTCCTTCCAACCCAACAATATCCTCAGTCAAATCAGCTGCACTCCGGTGTCCTGCATCTGGTTTGGGGGTTACCACCACGACAGGCACCAACGACCTTGCAGCCGCAGCTCAGTGCAGCAGTTGAAGATCTCGCAGACGAGGGCCTCTGTCAGGTGTTCCCAGCGAACCCTCATTTTACGTTCAGGTGCACCAGGTCTGTCCACCATCGTCCCCTGCCACCTGATCCAATTCCTCCTCCAGGTGGTGATCAGTTAAAAGCTCACCATCTTTCTTCACCCAAATGTCCAGAACATACGGCCACAGATCTGATGATCAATTACAAAATTGATCATCAGATCTGTGGTATGGGGTGTCCTAGTGCCATGTGCAGTTACGGACACCCTTACGTTCCAAAACGGTGTTTGTTACGGACAAACTGGTTCACACAGGAGTCCAGCTCTGGTTCAGATCTAGCAGACCCTTCCTCCCAATCATGCCCTTCCAGGTCTCAGTGTTGTTGCCCGCATTAGTGTTCAATTCTCCCAGTAAGACGACCGCCCCCAGGTGGAGCACGCTGGCAGGTTACTCTGAACTGCTGTTCGGCGCACAGGCACAGATGACAGTCAGGACCTATTCCCTGACCTGAAGGTGCAGGGAACATATCCTCTTGTCCACCAGGGAAAACTAGGGGATACTAAGATATCCACCCCAGCTGAGACAAAGTCCAGCCTGTCTCTGGAACCAGGAACCAGTCACCTGGAGGAGTCTCAGTAGCTGGGATCAGTTTGCCAGTGTGTGCTGGCCACTGCCCAGCCCCTGGGATCACTGGGACAAGCAAACCCCTCGACAACAATAAATCTGCAATTCACAGAGGGGGTTAGTTTGTTGTTGTGGGGCGATCGTGGCTCAAGAGTTGGGAGTTCATCTTGTAATCGGAAGGTTGCCGGTTCGAGCCCCGGCTTGGACAGTCTCGGTCGTTGTGTCCTTGGGCAAGATACTTCACCCGTTGCCTACTGGTGGTGGTCAGAGGGCCCGGTGGCGCCAGTATCAGTGCTCCCCAGGGTGGCTGTGGCTACAATGTAGCTGCCATCACCAGTGTGTGAATGGGTGGATGACTGGATGTGTAAAGCGCTTTACAGATACAGGCCATTTACCATTTGATTTTTAAATTTAATTGTTATTTACAGCCAGATTATCTCACCTGTCCGTTCTCCACATGCAGGGCAATGGCAACATTATCCCAAAGATAAAACTCAGGCTGTCCAAACAGCTCCAGAGAGTCCATCTGACTTGCATCAGGTCTGCGGATCAGCTCGAACCTGAGAGGAAGGCCAAAGACAAACAGTAAAAGTCCTAAATATACTTAAATATATACATAAAATTATTGGAAAAGATCAGCTGACTGGATGTCAGGAGGAAACCTTTTAAAATTTAATTAATTGTCTATGCAGAGACTCCTCCACCTGTTCACTCACCCGTAGTTATAGTGGCAGCACGCTCGTGATATTTGAGGGCTGGAATGTAGATTGAATGTATTTGCCTTCAGATTTAGCTCCATCACAAAGGTCTGGTGCACATTACTGAGGATGCCCCCCCAACCCCATCCTCCACCTTCCCATCACTTGTGAATGAGGCACATGATTTCTCTGACTCAGGGCAGTGACTGTAACTCCTAACACACTTTTACTTTTGTGAAAGCCGTTGAATTAAAACTGAAAGTGTGCACTTCAGTCACATCTTGATCATTGGAATTAAAATGACATAGGCAAAACTACAAATGGTGTCATGGTCCAGAAACCTCTGCACCGACCTGGATGCCTCAGATCAGATGTACGACAACAAAGCGGATCATTGACCTGAACACAGCGTGTCCTCGTACAAGTGCATCTGCAGCAATCCTGTAACAGGATGTTTGTTATGGGTGGAAAACCAACACCTCTCTGGTTTAGATCAGGCTGCTCCTGTCTCCTACATCCAAATGTTCCTACCATCCCAGAGTCTCCAAGAAGCCCTGGTATTCTTCCCTGCTGCTCATAGAGAGTCGACCCTCTTCCTTTATCTGTGAGCGTTTATCTCTGTTTCTCACCTGTGTGTCTCACACATGGCCTCCGACCTCCAGATGAAGCGTCCGTCTCTGTATGCGCAGACAGCGTTCGGGTCATTACCAGGAAGTAATGGAAACTCTGAGAAGAGCTCCTGATTGGCTGGGCTGTGGACCAACACAGAGTACTGCACTTTCTTTTTGAACAGGCAGGTTCTGAACACTCTCATGATGGGCGGAGCTCCGAAGCAGAACTGGACACAACAAAAGGTCTTTCAGGGAGACTCACACCTGTCACACACCTGAGGTAATGTACATGATGTACTGATAACACAGGGAGAAAAGCTGGCTGACAGATTGTTCCTGGTCACACGGTGTTTATTATTTTCAGTGTGTAGCTTTGACACAAACTCAGACTGTTGTGGATAAAGAGTTGTTCAGTTTTGAATAATGTTTGCATCGTCAGGAAGAAAAAATTCCCACCTCTGTAAATGTAAACGTACCTGCTGGCTGTAGGCGGTCAGCACGTCCTGCAGGGGGAAGGTGAAGCGGTACGATCCATACCTGGACTTCTCACTGAAGGCCGGAGAGGTGGCAAATCTCCACAGGAAGCTCTGCTGCTTCGCGGCCTGCTCCTTCATCCGGTTTGGGTAGGTCTTCTCCAGGAGCCTCGTCTCGGCCGCCTGGATCTCCTCGGGCCCCACAGCCAGACTCCACCACACCAGGGACCATTTGTGTGGATCCCTGAAGCCTCTGTGAGGATCCTTGAAGCCGCCGTCTGTCCTGATCCAACATAAAGCCCCTCGCTCTGTGTCGTGTTTCAGCTGAGACACGTGAAACTCGGGGCGGGGGTATTCAGGGACGTTTTCTTTTAGGAGATACGGGTTCTTCAAGTCACGAGCGAGCTTCTTCAGCTCATTCAGCCACAGATGCTTACAGTTCATGAAGTGTTGTATATATCCTCTCCTGTTTCTTTGTGTCTGCATGGTCAGGTGGAGGCTGATGCTTCCTGTCAGGAGTGTGAGTGATCTCTGATCACCAGGCTTATATTCAGACCACGCCCCCACAGTCCAGGGTGTCCGACTCTCGCGCTCTTACACTGCCCATGCAAATGGGACAAAGCCTGAACGCCCTCACACAGGAACTACTCTAAACATCAGCTTCCATATTTCAGCACCAGCACTGATAAACATCACACAGGGAAAGAAAGAAGACGCACACTTCCCCCTGTCATCTACCGCTATCTCACTGTTTCCACTTCTGTTACAGGTTCAAGTGTTAATGAAGTGAAACCCGACTGCAGCTCAGACAGCAGGCTAATGAAACCCATTAGTAATTAATTTAGCAGATTACATAGACACATAGAGTTTAGCAGATGTTTACAGAAGCTTGTTAAACACCTGCAGCAGCAGGATCCATATGAGCGTCTGCAAAGTAACGTCTCTCAGTAGCTGCATACGGACAATACTGTGATATTGAAAGGTTAAATATACAGTAATATACACATGATAACATTGGTCTGTTTCTGGAACATGGCTCAACAAAGTTCAATCTCAAAATTTAATCTTCAATTATTATTTTTTCCAACATTTTTGATCTCTCATATGTCACAACCCGGCTCAAGGACAATGACAAGCAAATGGGAGACCACACACAGGCTTTTAAAGGCTGTGAGATATTTTTAATGACGATAAGGTGAAGAAACTTAAACACAATTGAAATGATATAACAGCCATAACTGAAGCCTCAAATGAATCTGATGGGTGCCAGAGACCCCGCAGGTGTCTTTATATACACTGGGACTGGCCTTCTCAGGTGTGCTGCATCTATAATTGGGTCAGCTCCACCTACCTGCAAGAAACAGGTAACAGAAAAAGCGAAACACAAGACCAGCCCACTGGCCGTCACACATAACATCATTAGTACGGAAGATCCATCCATCCATTCGCTTCCGCTTATCCTTTTTCAGGGCCGCGGGGGCACTGGAGCCTATCCCAGCTGTCATAGGGCGAGAGGCGGGGTACACCCTGGACAGGTCGCCAGTCTGTCGCAGGTCTAACACACAGGGACAGACAACCATTCACGCCCACATTCATACCTAGTGACAATTTGGATTAACCAATTAACCTATCCCCACTAACTGCATGTCTTTAGATGGGGGGAGGAAGCCGGAGTACCTGGAGGGAACCCACGCAAACACGGGGAGAACATGCAAACTCCACACAGAAAGACCTGATGGTGGAATTGAACCCAGGACCTTCTTGCTGTGCAGCAACAGTGCTGACCACCGTGCCACCGTGCTGCCACGGTGTACAGAAGTACAGAAGATATCCACATAAAATATTCAGGGCTGAAAAACACATTTAAACTCTGTTAAAGACGAGATGGGCACAAACTGTCCTCAGTGGTCTCCTGCAGCCACCTTTGACCTTTTGTTCGATGTGTTTTTGGAACAGGAACTATTGATGAGGACTTCCTGCTCGTGGATGGTGTGTGTAATCTAGAGAGATGTGGAACACAAAGCTGAGGTCAGATGCTTTGGATTTACATATGTTTTACTTTCATTTCATCATCCCCCTGAAAAAGTTCTCTGAGTTTCTTTCACGTCTGATTCAGCGTTCATCGCTGCCACGTATCGGTTCTGTCACCGGGAACTTAAAGATACCTTTGTTTCCAAACTCTTTAGACTGCGATGACTTCACAGACAGACAGTGAGAGTTTGTCTCCATGCAGTTCATTAACCTACAGGTCTGAAGATCACAGCCGTGTCACTGATGTTCAGCCGTGTCACTGCGCACAGAGATTCCTGCAGATTCTCTGAATCCTTTGATGATAATATTACTGTAGATGATTCACAATTTCACATCATCCGTTTATCTACAACATGATTACAAATAGCAAATCATACAATAAGTGGAGCTTATTGTGTGATGTTTACAGTCTGTCATAGAAACTATAAGATTAAAAAAAAAAGAATACAGATGATTACGATCAGAATAATCAATAAATGCTCAATCCATTTATTGATTATTCCTCATCACACATGACAGTAAACCAAACATCTTCAAGTTTTTAACTGTCATTCAGAATAATGTGGACGTCTGAGTTGAGAAACAGCCATCTGTCAGTATTTAGTCATTTATTTTTTGATCTGATCATTTCCTGATCAATAAATAGTGCAAATATTAGTGTCTGATGTGATCTGACTACAGCCAGCAAAACCACTGAAATCCAGGGACTCCAGAGCTGCTGCACCGTCAGTGCTGTTTGGGTTTTCGACAGCAGGGGGCGCCGCTGGGCTCATAAAGCCGAGTGTTCCTGGTGCAGGTCTGAGTGAGCACAGAGGAGGATGACTCTGAGTTTGTTCACTTTGTTCCTGTTCTCCTTCAGTGATGTCACTTCCTTTACTGGCTCTAAAAACTGTAACTTTAACATTTATTTCTTAAATCCAGCTTCACAGAAAGAGTTCTGTGGCAGTATTTTAGAGCACGGCTCCATGCTGCACATTAGCCTTCATACATGTGTGTTTAATGTAACAGAGTAAGGCGCAGGTTCTTCATTGAGTCGCTCTTTTAATGAATATGTTCAAAACAAAAAGAAAAAAGCCCACCCTGATGTTCTTAGAGGTTTGAGCTGAACGATTCAGATGCATTCATATGGTCTACACTATTGTCATGCTCTCCAGGATCTCTGGGATGTTGTTTTGCTGTTTCTCACCAGGGCGGAGTCAGGCTCCGGTCCCCACCTCTGTCCTTGTCTGTACTCCACTGCCTCTCATCACGGATGATAACTCCTGCACCACTCAAGGCCCCAGTGGAGTTTGCTTCGTTGTTGGATCGTTGTGCTAACCTGTGTCAGTGTAGCCCTGGTTCACCGAGTGATCTCGATCTAGTGCTTCTCTCTAACGTATATCTCCTCTCCTTGACTTCCCTGGACCTTCGCCTGTTACCCCCACCCTGTGGTGAGCAGAGTACTTACTGGCTGACAGTGTGTGTGAGGAAAGATGGATGATACAAGCACCACCTAACAGTTATTATTACACATTTCTGGATGTTCAGTTTGAAAAGGGTGAAAAAGTGTTCTGAGCAAATCTTCCATCATCAACTTAGCTGAAGAACTGAAACCTAAACTATGCTGTTAAACATTTAATGGAATTAAAAGATATCTTTACACAAACCAATTCAAAACTTTTATATTGATGATGTATTCATGGATAGACTGTCCTGTCCACCAGGGAGCGCTGCTGTACCGCCTCCCACGTCCGTAGCACACACACACATTTATACAGATAATGTGGATCCGTTAGCAGATCCACAGAAGTCCTCAGCCTCCATCAGGTCCTGCTGTAGTTCTCCAGCTGAGAGAGCGCAGACATGTTAGAGGTGAGATGAGACTCCATCCATCTACAGATGTACTCATCAGCAGAGATGGGCAGTAACGCGTTACTTGTAACGCATTACTGTAATCCGATTACTTTTTTCAAGTAACGAGTAAAGTAAGGGATTACTATTGCAAAAACGGTAATTAGATTACGGTTACTT